GGACGGATGGGAGGGGCACGAAACCATGTAAATAACATGGGTTTCCGATACCCTCCTCGCTCAGGCGGGGCCTCCCTGCAGGGGTGGGAGGAGCCTGAAACCATGTAAATAGTATTGGTTTCCGATACCCTCCTCGCTCAGGCGGGGCCTCCCTGGAGAGGTGGGAAGGGGCACGAAACCATGTAAATAGTACGGGTTTCGGTTACCCTCCTCGCTCAGGCGGGGCCTCCCTGGAGGGGAGAGAGGGGCACGAAACCATGAAAATAGTGTGGGTTTCCGATACCCTCCTCGCTCAGACGGGGCCTCCCTGGAGGGGTGGGAGGGGCACGAAACCATGTAAATAGTGTAAGTTTCCGATACCCTCCTCGCTCAGGCGGGGCCTCCCTGCAGGGGTGGGAGGGGCACGAAACCATGTAAATAGTATGGGTGTCCGATACCCTCCTCGCTCAGGCGGGGCATCCCTGGAGGGGTGGGAGGGGCACGAAACCATGTAAATAGCATTGGTTTCCAATACCCTCCTCGCTCAGGCGGGGCCTCCATGGAGGGGTGGGAGGGGCACGAAACCATGTAAATAGTATGGATTTCCGATACCCTCCTCGCTCAGGCGGGGCCTCCCTGGAGAGGTGGGAAGGGCACGAAAACATGTAAATAGTATAAGTTTCCGATACCCTCCTTGCTCAGACGGGACCTCCTTAGAGGGGTGGGAGGGGCACGAAACCATGTAAATAGTATGGATTTCCGATACCCTCCTCGCTCAGGCGGGGCCTCTCTGGAGGGGTGGGAGGAGACGGGAGGCGGGAGGCGGGAGGGAGAAGGAGAGGATGTTCTGGGAAAACAAGAACCCCACTGAGGATGTGGGGAATAAAAAATACTCAAGAAATACTCAAAACATGCCCCAAAATACTCAAAAAATAATCCCGAGACTATGTTTTGACTATTTTTGAATATTACCCCTGTAGAGGGACAGGCCCGACTTAACCAAAAGGCCCCCATGGCGGCCCCCGAAGGCCGCGAGGGAAGGGGCGCCCCTTCGCGCGGCGCGACGCGCTGGGCGCGGCCGCCCTCTGCTGGGGCTCCCCAGACCGTGTGGTGACAGACCGCGCGGTGACCTCGGAACCCCCAGAGTCATGAACACCCCGCGGTTCTCCGGGTTCTTCGGGTTCTCCACGGGTTCTCCGGGGTTCTCCGGGTTCTCTGGGTTCTCCGGGTTCTCCGGGGGTTCTCCAGGCTTCTCCGGGTTCTCCGGGGGTTCTCCGGGTTCTCCGGGGGTTCTCCGGGTTCTCCGGGGATTCTCCAAGGTTCTCTGGGGTTCTCCAGGGTTCCCTGGGGTTCTCCGGGTTTTCCGGGTTCTCCGGGATCTGAGACCTCACCGCATGGTCTTTAGGGTACCGAACAATGGCATAAACATAAAAACTCAGAGGTTCGCGCGGCTTTCTTGGATCCGCGCCGGACCCCCCTCCTTGGCGCGCGGAGCGCGCCAGGAGCGGCGACGGAGGCGCCGCCAAGGGGGTCCAGCGCCGATGCGAGAAGTCCGCGCGGACCTCTGAGCTTTTATGTTGATGTCATCTTTCGTTCCCCTACAGACTTCCCCGGAGAAGGACCCGAGTCCCAAAACCGTGCGGCGACGAATCCCCAATGCCTGGGGGCCTCCCGCTGGCGCTCTCGCGCCGCCGCCCCCGCCCGGCAGCACCGGCCTTGTGGCACAGGCCGCCGGAGCGCGAGGCGCGGCCATCGCCGCAGTCTGTCCCTGCAGGTGGCCTCAGGAGATCTGGCGGCGAGCCCGGTGGGGAAGGAGGGCGGGGAGGAGGAGGAGGGGGAGCAAAAGGAGGAGGAGAAGGCGAGGGGGCGGGCCTTTTCAGAAGTCGGCGGGGCATCTCAGGAGCCCTCGCGCCTTCCGAGAAGACTTCTAGGCCTTCTCTGCAATCACAGACGGCTACTCAGAAGAAGCGGAGATTTCTGAGAAGCCCCGCACGGCTACTCAGAAGAAGCGGAGACTTCTGAGAAGCCCCGCCGCCTTCTGAAAAAGCCTGCCCCCTCTCACTTTCCCCCTGGCCTGCCGCCGATTATGGGCTTCCCGATCGAGGACGCAAGAGACAGGCACGAACGAACCACCTCAGCTGAAATCTGTCCGTGCCCAATCGAGACCAAGTGGGTGACGGCGCAAGGGAAAGGCGCGGGGGGCAGGGCACGGGGCTTGCGAACGTAAGCAAATTTGTTCGCCATGAGTGCCATGGTCGCGCCTTCGGCATGTCCCAGGCGTACTTCAACCACGTAAGGTACAAGCACGGCGCACAGAACCCGATGCGATTGTTCGCACGTGCCGACGCGACGTGCCCTTCATGTCGCGCTACATGATCCACGAGACTTCGGGTAATCACGCCTTCGCCAAGAACTTGCGCAGGACCGACCCGGTGCAGGGATGGGTGTCTTGCCAGCCTCCACCCCACGACGCAGGAAGAAGCCGACGCGTTGGACGCATTCGACAATGGCGACAGGCGGCTGACGCATAAGTCTGGGCTGAAACACCCAAGAAGCAAAG